ATGAAAATAAATATGAATGTTTTTGGAGCAAGATGTTCAGTTGGTTAGGAGTTACACTGAGGAGAAGAACAGAGGGAGGTTTTGTTTTATTTGTTTGTCCAAGGCAGAGCAGAGTGACAGATCCTGGTGAATGGAGGGAGCAATTTGATCCACCACCAAGTGCAGTGGAGGAACCAGAGGGTGGCCAATGGGGGCCTTGACCACCATAGATCAATCTTTTTCCCCCAATCATTTGAGGAAACTATACTTTTAAGCAAAAATAATAATAATAAAAAACTAGAAAGCATAGCTTCCTCAAATGATTAAGGTGACTGATTCACTTATTTATAAATGTGGTGGCCATCTTGGATTTTTAACTTGGTAACCCAACTTTTGAAAGGAACATTTCTTACAGCTAGATGTAGCCACACACCAAAATGGAAGTCAGTATCTCACTTATTTTTCAAGTTGTCATGCTCACAAGATGAACCAGCCATACGGGAATTTTCTATTTCCCCATTTTACTCTGTGTAACAGGGGACAACAAATAAATAAACAATTTGTGTTTTATGTGTTGATTCGAGATCAGAGAGCAGCTCCAAAAATCTACACATGGTTCAACATAATTTTGAGATGTGAACTCTTATTAATCTGTTTATTTTTACTCATTTGTATTTGACTGCCAAGTTGTTTAAAGATGTAAAAAGTATACTTGTCATCTTCTCAAAACCATCAAAGTTCATGCTCAGTAATCCAGGTAAAACATCCAAGTGTTCGGTCAGGTCATCTGGACAATATATTTTTTTTGTTGAGAGATTTTTCGACCTCCATCCAAAAGGCTTCATCAGTCGAGTCCCAAACAAACTGTTTTCCCCACTAAGCAGTAGCAAGCAGTGGACCAACCAGTTTGCTGGTGATAAGACGGCTGGACCAACCACTGTAGGCGTGCACTGCTTAATGGGGAAAACAGATTGTTTGGGACTCCTCAGACTGATGAAGCCCTTCGGATGGAGGGCAAATTGTCGCTCAAGAAAAAAAAGAAGATACTGTCCAGATGACCTGACTGAACTTATCAACACCAGTTTCATGTGTTTCATTGAAAACTCAAGATGAACAAAAGTACTCAAAATGTAGGGAGTGTTTTTCAAAGTGGGGGCTGCGGTCAGGGGGCACTAGGAGGACCTCAGAAAGCTGGAGAGAAGAAGATTCAAAAAAAGCAATAATAATAATAATTGAAAAAAAAAAAAAAAAAAAAAATTCCCCACTAGGGAATCTGTATCTGTCAGTTCCAGATAATCACGTTTGAGAGGTTAGATTTCTTTTGTTTTGTTCTTCTGGTCAACAGTTTGTTGAAAAGTTGTTTTTGTTTCAGTGGGAATATAACACAGTGTTTAAAACATGTTAGTTAATAACAGTTTTATGCTCCGCAGCTGTAATAAATAATTCAATGCAGTGAATAAAAGTTAAAACATTCTAAAAGTTGATGCTTCTTTACACATTGTTTGCAGGTTTGCGAGGGGGGGGCTCAGCCAGAAGCTAATACTGTTTGGGGGGCCACAGCATGGAAAAAAATTGGGCACCCCTGATTTAGCAAACTGAGTACATACGTAGATTTAGTGTGACATTTATTTTAGAGCACTCTAAATGTTTCTATGTAATTGCTTGTTTTCCATGACTTTTGATTAAGCTCATGTTAAACTCATAAACTCATAGCTGGTTAAAGATGAAGAGTTTTAATGAGAAGTATAAAACTTGACTCACTTCTTCGGCTTGTGTTGCTATTTTTAGCTGCGAGCATTATGATGGTATGGCAGTAAAAGAGCCTCATAATGAGCCCTCAAGACAACGAGTCGGATCTTCACTTTATTTCCATAATAATGAAAGGTGTAATATTTCCGCACATCCTTTCCTCAGAGGTTAGTACAGAGAACTGCTGTTCAACCACTTCAAAGTGATTTTAAGAGCATTTCATTTCAAAGACGTTTCCATTCTTGTTCGGTAATTTATCTTCCATTTTATTCTTGTGTTATGATTTTTAATAAAAAAAAAAGTCTTGAGGCAAAGTCCCTCTCTCTCTCTCTCTCAGGATAGTTTAGCACAAGTGCACATCGTCTGTGTTAGTTTAATGTATGAGTCATTTACTCTCTCTGCTCAGAGATCGTCTTCCTTACCAGCTCAAACTTTTCAGCTCTCCGGTTTGACTGCATGTATACGAGACAGTTATAAGGAATTCATCACAGCTTTAACCCTTAGTTAGGTGAACCTGAAACTGCTCGGCCTGATTTATTTTAAGACACTCATCACAGCGTCACATTAAATGTCATTAAAGAGTCAGAGCTGTATAGAATTCTGAATCATTGCATAGCGAGGATGACAGGGTCAGCAGTTCAAGAAACAAGAAGAGCGAGAGTGGTTGCCAAGTGAAGCAAAAAAAGCAAAAAAAGAAACTGTCCAGATGACCTGACTGAAAAATTTTGGATTTTATACCTGGATTATTGAGCATGGACTTTGTTGTTTTCAACCAGTTTGACAAGACTGTCAACAAGGAAGAGGCAATGGAGGAGGGGCATACCAAAAAGACCATCTTATCACAAGCAGAACTGGTTTGTTCCAATTTGGAGTAAGCTGTTGGGGGAAAAATCAGTTTTGTTGTGTGTTTCCTTCACTGATGAAGCCTTCCGGATCGAAGGTGAAACATTTCAGCACAAAAAAAGAAACTGTCCAGATGACCTGACTGAAAAATGTTGTATTTTATACCTGGATTATTGAGCATGGACTTTGTTGCAAAAAAAAAAAAAAAAAGTGTTTTTCTTTTTATTTCTCTGTTGTCACATAATTAAATGAATCCTGTAGGATGTAGAAATTAAAATTATGTAGATTTGGTACAAAAATACTGACCTTTCAACTGATAATACAACTTGAAATATTTTTTTTTAAATGTTCTAAACCTCCTCCTTGAATCGCCACCTTATCGTGGTGGAGGAGTTTATGAACCTGAATGATCCTAAGAGCTATGCTGTCGGGAGCAATTGTAATTGCTCCTGGTAGGGTCTCCCAAGCCAGATAGGTTCAGGTGACAGGACAGATAAAGAGCAATTCCAAAAACTCGTATGGACAGAAAACAGCAAGGAGCTCAGTGTACCCTGCCTGGACATGGTAAATGGTAAATGGACTGTACTTATACAGCGCCTTTCTATCTTATCAAGATACTCAAAGCGCTTTACACTACAATCTGTGTCCTCATTTACCCATTCACACAGCACTCTACTAGATCTATACAAAGCTAATTGAACAAATCATTCTAAAGAGACTAATCAGAGCTTTATCACATTCATACACCGGTGGGACACACATCGGAGGCAACCAGGGATTCAGTGTCTTGCCCAGGGACTCTTTGGCATGTGACTGCTGGTGGATTTGAACCCCCAACTCTTGCATTGGAGGACGACTGCTCTAACCACTCAGCCACAGCCGCCCACATGGGTTACAGGTGCTCCACCCTGAAGCCACACTTGGGGGAGGGGCTCGTCAGTGGTGATCGGGTCTCTACCCGGTCAGGCTCAGCCCAAATGAGCAACATGGATTTGCTTTCCTGTGGGTCCACCACCTGCAGGAGGGGTCATATGAGGCGGGTGCATGATTCAATAGGCAGTGTCTGAAGGCGGGGGCCTTGGCGCTCTGACCCTGGCTTACCAAAGCTGGCTCTTGGGACATAAAACGTGACCTCTCTGGTGGGAAGGAGCCTGAGCTTGTGCGTGAGGTTGAGAGGTACCAACTAGATACACTGTAGTTGGGATCACCTCAATGCACAGCATGCACTCTGGAACTGATCTGAAGTTGACCATAGTGAGAGGCGCTGAGCAACACAATTTTTGACAAGGATATCTTTTAATGTCTTGATGTAGCTACATGCAAAAATGGAAGTCTAGTTCTGTCAGATCCTTGCAAACTGAATCATTGTCACGTCCATCAATAGTCTGCATGTGCACCAAATTGTACCGTTCCTTCTTTTTATGGACGGGGAGCATATTAGGCAATTATCTAAACCTTAACATGGTTTATGGGACAATAAAAATTAGAAACGTCTATTAGCAAAACACAGTTTCATAAAGCAGCAATGCAGCATCTAAATTTCCAATATGAAAATGAAATGTTTGATGACTTAGATGACTCACTGCACATGGAAACTGATTACAAATTTTACATCAGGGATGTTATTCTAGACTTAACAGTGCAGATAGATGGGAATGCAGCTTGTACTACTTGAAGGTTTCACAATCAACATGCAACAACCCTCTTCCCCCCCCCCCCCCGCCCCAACACACACAGTCACATACATATACATACACACACATACAGAGTCAAGCTCTGGAGGAGAGCAGGATGGAAATGAGGGGTGGGTACCACAATGTTTCTGCTTCCTCAGCATAAATACATCCAAGAATCAAATAGTTGGCACATCTTTCTATATTTATGGAATCAAGAATAAATAATTTAATCTGGGTCCTCTTTTTATCACTAAGGTTTGTGGTTTACACTGCAAGTGCTTAGTAAGAAGAAGCAATCTGCGGTGAGATTCAAAATGGTAATAGTTGCATAAAAAGTCCTGAAGCTGAAAGGGATTCCAGCAAAAAACAAAATGACATCACACTGTTGAGAAGCACTTATCCCATCAGCGTGACTGGGATAAAGTGCACAGCTCAGGCTTGACATTGGTCCACATGTTCAAACAGAATGACAGTAATCATGATCAACACTTCCCTCGCAGAATGATAACAGGTTGATTGAGGCAACAAGAAGCAATCTACTGGAAGGTCAGAGTTCATGGAGGGATAGAGAGAACGGAGAGCTTGGCATTGACAGAGGCACAGTGAGGGCACTTGGTGTGGGGGTGAGGACAGGCATAAAGAGAGCATCCAGGCAACCATCTCAGATAAAGAGTGACAAAAAGCCTGAGGGGTCACTGAAAATCACAGACAGGGAGAGTGATCTAGAGAGAGCAGACAGGAACAGACACTTACAGATACAGGCAGGCTGGACACCAGTCCAGGTGAGATCGGGCAGACACAGCCTGGTGGTGGAGCCCTGCAGAATGTGTCCCTGCTGGCACTGGAAGTCTACTCTGCTGCCCACCTGGCCACAAACAGACAACAACACAAAGCGAAAAGGATCAATACTCTGATGCAAATGCCAATAGGCTCCCAGCTTCAAATCTAAAAAGCTCAAAGAGAATAGTGCACACTGAAGGTTTCTTTTCTCCCTTTTTAACGATTATCCGCAGTGTGTGGAGGCAGATAGAGAATATTTCTAAAGGCCATTTCTCATGTTTCTTCTCAGCTCCACAGACATTAAAAGTCCAAGAAGATTTTTTTTTAATTATTGTTGTTGCTAAAAGTATCAGGCCTGGCTGTAAAATTAGTTTTCATTTGAAAAAAATTGTTCCAGTCAACTCCTTAAAGATTGAACTGACTGAGTTTCTCTCTTTCGATGATGGGGAAATGTTGATAAAGGCATTCAGTAAAGGCAAGCACTACTCCAAATAAAAGCTTTTTATCTTTGTCAGAACATTTTGTATTTTAGAATCTCAGCTGTGTTTCTATCTCTAAAGAGATGGCGAGAACTTTGACACTGTTTTAATTGACTTCTAACAAGCACAGACAGAAACAGACAAAATGTGAACACTTGAGGAGAACAATAAGAATTCAACGCCCCCCCCCCCAACACAACCACCTCACATTGATCAAACAATGACCATGACAGCATCATAACATTAAACAGACAGATACATCAACAGAACAGCATACAACACATAATACTCCCGTCGACTATTATACAGCAATCTATAGCAAGTAAAGAGCTTGTATGAACGCTGACTGTGATTTGCAACCTTGACCTTGAAATTGGGGCGATAACAAGATTATACAACACACTAGTGTCTAGTGATGATACCAATACATATCAAATTCTGGTAAATTATCTTGAGTGGATCAGAAAATATGACCCGGATAAGCAAACATTTTGTATAGCCTTTAACCTTGATTTGTGACCTTGTTCTTTAAGTTGGGATTATGAAAAGGTCATGCAAGTTGTGGTCTAGTGGTGAAACCATTCATATCAAGTTTTGTTAAATTGTCTTGGGTGGATCAGAAGATGTGATTCGTAGATTCAAACTCCTTGTTTCAAATTTGACCTTGATTTGTGACCTTGATATTGGAGTTAAGGTGATGAACAGTGTATGTGACACTCTATCAAGTGATGATGCATGTGTATGAAGTTTGGCTAAATTTTCCCGAGCAGATCAGAAGTTACGTCCCACCATTCGACAGGTGTATAAAAATTAAAACTTTATATCCACCAACTGTTAAAAGCTCACAGAGAAAAAAGAGACCAAACTTCAGTTTTCTGCTGAAAAATAAAAATAAACATCTCCCCTCCTCAGGAGTTTAACTGTATTAACACTACAACACACGACAGACATGAACTTACAGGCCACTCATTAAGCAACCTTTGTTCTGGTGGCCCTGAATGTCAATATTAATGCGTTCTCATTTAAGCCAACATAAACTATAAAACATACATAATGTAACATCGACATAATAAATATACAGTCCATATGATTAAACACAAACCCCAACAGAATAACTTTATGTGAGCTCACCATCCAAGTTCAGCTCAGGGCCACTTTCTATTTTTCTCACGTTACACCCATGGAAACATGTGGGTATAAAACCAAGTGCAGCGAATCCAGTACCAGCAGGTTTTGGATCAATATGACCAATGCACACTTTCCATGGTATTCCTATACAGTAGTCCCTCGCTACTTCGTGGTTCAACTTTCGTGGACTTGCTCTTTTGTGCTTTTTCAACGATTGTCAACTTTAATTTTACTCACGTGATTGGGATGGTATGGGATAAAAAGTTAATGGAAAAAAAATACTTCTTACATTTGCCACCATTTTGAAGTTTTCTTTTCAATAAGTTTATACTGTAACATAGGTCAAAAAAACTGCACTACCCAGAAGCCAACAGTGCTTCCGGCTGCTGCTCTCTGCTGAAATGGAGGGAAAATTTAGCAACGCAAGTCAGAAGTAGAGGGCAGCACGGTGGCGCAACTGGTAGAGCTGCTGCCTCTCAGCGAGCAGGTCCCTGGTTCAAACCCCGGTCCAGGGGCCTTTCTGGGTGGAGTTTGCATGTTCTCTTCGTGCATGCGTGGGTTTTCTCCGGGTACTCCAGTTTCCTCCCAAAGACCAAAAACATGCATGTTAGGCTGATTGGTAACTCTAAATTGTCCCTAGGTGTGAATGAGAGAGTGAATGGTTGTTTGTCTCGTTTGTCTCTATGTGTCCCTGTGATGGACTTGCGACCCGTCCAGGGTGTACCCCGCCCCTCGCACACTGATTGCTGGACATGGGCACTGGCGACCCCCGTGACCCAAATTGGAAGAAGTGGGTAAAGAAAATGGATGGATGGAAGTCAGAAGTAACAATCTATCTATAAAGCTCACAGAACTGGCAGGAAAGTTGCAAATAATCCTGAAGCTTCCTGAAGATCAGTTATCTACGTGCACATCAACCTGGATGGGGCGGTGGGCTTCGTCGCTGCAGGCTAGGTTTGCTGAACTGGAACAGAGCCAGACTGAACTGCTGTTCTGCAGAGATGGTGAGTAAAATTTTGCAGTACTGTACAGTACATATACATATGTTGTTAAAAATGATGTAGGTTTAAGAGTTTAGAACATTGCAAGAATGTGGGAAGGGTTTATAAAGCCTTTATATATATATATATATATATATATATATATGCGAATATTAAAAAAAATTATGTTCCTAATTTGCAGTTTTTCACCTATTGCTGTGGTGTCTGGAATGTAACTCCACTGATAATCAAGGGATTACTGTAAAAGTGGAAAGGATCCTGTCTGGCTCTAAAGTTATCGAAGACATTATGATGCTTTTTAGCAGCTAACAGTCTGTAAATACATAATTTCCAAGCCCAGTTCCACAGAGTGGTTCTGATCCTTCCTGATCGCTGCTCACATGTTTCTGATCTAGGAATGATGTATCAGTTTAGTATAGCAGCACCATCTCCCCCCAAAGAGGCTTTGTTTAGCATGCTAACCATTAATAACGTCTTCTCAGTGAACCACGTTACATTAAACTCGTGATTTATTTTATGGTGAGTGCTTCTTTTAGTTTATTTTCCAGGTTGAGAGTTTTAAATCCTCTTCATTCATCTTCTGCTTCTTCAGAGCTTGGCTCTGTCTTGGGTGTTAATTGGCTGACAAACTAATGACTTGACAACAGGAGAGATTTTGGCAAATACAAAGAAATTTGTTCCAAATTTACGGCACAAAAATAAAGATGACACTGGCTGAAAGAAATCACTTGAGGAAGCTACTAGTTGCTATGGTGTGGATAGTTTGTGACATTTTTTGCATTACTTGCTTATAACTTCAGCACACAAATACAGAAATGTGCATCATCATTACTTTACATTAAATACAGGAATGTAGAGCAATCCAGCTTGTTTTGGTGTGAGATCACTCGAGGCAGACACACACATACATAAGTGCATCATCAATCATAGATTAGATCATTCAAAAGAAAAAAAGGTTTCATTAAAAAAATCTATTGGAAACTTATCAATAAAATGAATGTTACATACAATAAAGCTAGCAGAGAAATCATACACATCAAACACTTGTGCTAAAAAAGTTAATATATTTCAAGGATCGTGAAATATTCAGCTTGTTTCTTATATTTTGACTTGTTTTTTTATAAATCCTGAGATTTACACTTCGGTATCGTAAATATTTCAATACAAACTCTTACACCTTCCTGTAAAATAGATACAATCTTTGAATCTTATTTGATTTGGCTCAGCTGACCTTTCAGCATCAACCTTAATGGTTAGTGTTTCTCGTTCATAGAGCTATCCATGTTGACAGAGTTGTGAAGCAAGTTGCTTGCCTGCCACTGGGAACAACTGGGGGTTCAGCGTTCCACTGAAAGATGCTTTGACGTGTGGGAGGGTCGACAGATTGATCTGCCACCACTGCAGCCTTGAGATGGCTCGAACTCAAGCAGCAGAGACACGGCCAAATCACAACAGGTTAAGTTCAAAGTACCACCAACAGTAACTGGGAGCTGTCTGACACTTATTAAAACACATTTTTTTGCACGAAACCATCTGAAAGATAAAGTGTGCAAAGACATCTTTTCTAAAACGAATCTCCTACTTGTTGTACCTTGAAGCCTGTGGTGTAATTCATGAACCCATGCTCAGGTGTTCCTGGATTCTCACATGCAGTTCTCGTGGGCTCTGGAACAAGAAAACATTGCAGTAATTAGGGATTGCAGGAGAGCAAAAATGAAAACAATGAAAAGAGAAAACTTCTAAAAATCACAAAGCTACTGGTACGTCTTTCATAAATACCAGTTAGCAGCAGACAGGTACTGGAGGCATGAAAATGTGAGCTGTATCATTTAACTTTGATTACTTTGACTTATATTTTCCATCCAATTATCTAAAGCAGGTGAAACAACTTTTCAGGATTCAAAACTGTAATATAAGCATTGACACAGGTGCAAGAATACACTGATCTGCCATACTATTATGACATCCTGCTAAATCAGTAAGAATATGGGGGGGAGGGGATATCTGGGGTGTCTTGTAAGAGAACATACAAGAGCGACTGGTCCGGTTTGCTTTCCACAGATTGCATCAGGTCCCATCAGGTAAGTATCGTGAGAGTTTGAAGATGAGGGAAATGCCTCAGTCTCAGTGATATCACTTCCTCTGGCAGTGGTCAAAGTGTCATGGCAGATCAGTGTATAGCTGTAGATATCAGTTGATTGAGCTAATGCCTGTCTTAACAGAGGCAATCTTGTGAGTTCAAGTTTCCAAGTTCAAAATATTCAAAAGTGCTTTCCCTCCAACAGCATAACTTAAGCAAGCATATCACATACGGCTCATTACACCCCCATGAACAAACTATTACAGCCATCTATAGAGCTTTAGAACGTGACATCACTGTGTCCGCGGCGCGGTGGCCGATGGGATATGATCGCCATCTTTGCTGTCCTTAATCATAACTGTCAAAAGCAAAGCTTTCTTGCTGATTTTTAAAAATCTAAATAGGTTAAAACAATTTAGCAATGATCCGAACTTATTGCATTATTGGAAGTAATGTCCGGCCATGGCCTGGACAAGCAAAGACCTTGTATAAACTTTGGCCTTGATTTGTGACTTTGATTTTGAAGCTGGGGTGATTAATAGTATTAGTACACAACACTTTATCTTGTGATGTTGCATATGAGTATGCTGTTTCATTCATTTATCTTGAGCAGATCAGATGTTATGGGCAGGATATTAGATATTTCATGGATGGACAGAGACTATACCATTATATATTCTGCCTTTGACGGGTATATAAAAGTTTGGAAACAAGTTATTTTACTAAATAGACACAAAGAAGCATTGAATACCTATGCATCGAGGCTGAGACCCACTCCAAGTGCTGTCATCCTGACACAGGCGTGTCGCTGAGCCTACCAGCATGTAGGGGGCGCTGCAGGTAAATGTAACTTCCGACTTGAAGATGAAGCTACGTCCTTCTCTCCGTCCTCTGGCGGGCACACCTGGATCTCCACAGAACTTGGCTGCAGAGGCCATAAAAACAGAGCGATTAAGTAAAAATAACTAAGGGTCAGCAACAGATGGTGAGCAGATTAAAAGTCTTTTCTCTGTTTGTATCAACACCTTGTTAATTTTGCTCATTTTTCAATAAATTCAGTGTTTGTATTTTTCCCATCATCTTCCATAAGGAAGCTGCAGATAGTGGCCTGAATGGAGACAGCTTAATTCAGAAATAATAAGCTGTGTGGGCTTCTGCTGTACATGAGCAGACCACGAGTGCTACAATAATTTAACTGCTGCTTTGCTGTCTATGATAGGCTTTTACCATGTCTGATTTACTTCACTGTAACAATAATTGTCTCTGTATGGGATTTGCAAAATCTCAAAAACTGGATTATTTAAATTGCATTGACATTACACATGTTGTAGAAAGATCTGTGCATATTTTTTTTAATTGTGTGGGCTGTTACATTGACATCCTTGCCTTGGGATGTAATGGCTCCATCTAATAATTTTTTGTTTCTAGCAATCAACCTTGCTAGTGAGTACTTTTAGTAGGTACGTGAATATTCATCTTGGCAGCAAAGAGGGAGCGAGGGAGGTCATGGCTCTCAATTTTAGATCGGAATAATTAGCAAGTGAAATATTAATTCCACCGACAGGGCCCAAGGGTTAACTCAACCAGAACCATTTGCTGCCACTGTTGCTCTCTGAGCCTCTTGTATGACATTACTTTTTTTTAATGGGAGTCCTGCCACCGCCTCAGCAGATGTGGCCTGATGGATTTTCTCTGCTGCTCCTTTAATTTATTGCTTTATAGACATCTAATCAAACTGACCGGAAAATTTAGGCTGAATGGGTTTGATGGTGAGAAAAGTAAGCCGTCTTCCAGCCTCCCAATGCAACATCTCCCCTTTTATCCATCCATTAATCCCCTGTGACCAGTGTGATCAGTTAAAGCTGCTTGTTAGATGCTGGTGGTTCAGACATGTTCGCTGTGTGTGTGTGTGTGTGTGTGTGTGTGTGCATGCATGAGAGCAGAGAGGGGCAAGAGTCACAGCATTCAGTCACGCAGCCAGAGCTCTGCGGGATCAAGTCAATAATGAGGCAGCTGCTTCTCCAGACCTGACATGTGCTGCTGCATGAAGGTCTGCTGATGGCGATAAGTTCTTGCTGGCTCTCCTCCTACAAGTCTTGAGCTAACAGGGTGTTCCCTCAGCTAATCTTTGACAAGACAATTATCTGCTAATAAAAGGAAATCATAATAATAATAAAAAAAATGTTATATACATATATCCAACAATGTTCAGTCAGGTCATCTGGACAGTTTTTTTTTTTTTCTGAGACGTTTCGTCCTTCATCCAAAGGACTTATTCAGTATGAGGAGCCACAAACAAGGAACCATTGTGGCAAGGCTGCCTCAGAGGAGTTGACAGGGTAGAGGGCGGGCTCCAGAAATCATCTTACCACCAGAAAACTTTTTTTTTTTTAACCACTATGTGGGTTTGCTTATTGTGAGACTCCAGTTTGTTTGTGGCTCCTTGGACTGAAGCAGTCCTTTGGTTGAAGGATGAAATGTCTCAGCAAAAAAAAAAAAAAAAAAAAAAAAATCGTCCAGATGTTCTGACTGAACATTGTTGGATTTGTACCTGGATTATTGAGAATGGACTTTGGCATATAAATATATCTTGGAAACAACAACTCTAATTCTGGAGTGGTAGGAGTTAAACAAGTGGAGATCTAAGAAAAAAACTATCTCAATTGTTGGTCTTCTCTTAAAATCGCTGTGTGTTCTGAGCCCCGAGTCTGACCACGTTCGATGTGACAACAGATAAATATGCAAATATCTGTTTGGATCTGAAAACGATTCTCGTTCCTTTTCCAAACGGTGCTCAGAGCGTTAGTATTCAGATGGTATTTCTTGAAGGGTTGACAATGCAGGCCAAACAGGTGACATGCACATCAGTCATAAGCTTCAAACTGCAGGAAAATAATGTAGTGTTTTATGGATATATAAGAGAAATGGCCCCGGGCCAAACCAAGCTCAGCATATTTAATGTCTCGATGTGTGTGTGCAGATGTGTGTAGAAGGAATGAGATGGAGACAAGTCGAACTTTTTTCTCTCTCTCCGTCTCTTTTTCACAGCCTCTCGTCTTCCTTGATGAATTATCAATGCTTTGAAGTCATCAGTATGCAGAGGCCAGATTCAAAGTTGGGATCACAGACTTATCCCTGCAGACGCGTGAAACCAACATCCTCAGACACAGAGTTTAGCTGGTTTCCTCTGAGCCAATCCAGCGAGCATGAGCGTGCATCTTAATCGCGTTTGGCTGCAAATTACAAATTTCAAGAAAAAGAAGACGAGCGTTTACAGACTCATCGCACCTCCCGCTGTTTCGCTGATGTGTATTTAAACTGAAAATGCTGAGTTGAAGATGAATTGCAGTCGTTATTCCGGAAATATACGGCAGTGCAGCTTTACTGTGTGTGCCGTAAACAGGAAGGAATAGCAAGGCAGTGAATTTCAAATCATTCTGCACTAAACAAATTTAATAAACTTGTCAGGTTTAATTTTCAGCCATTTTCTGTGACAGAGCCAGAAAAGAATCTGCTTATTCATCTTGTTAGAGCTACTGTAACCTTGTTGGTTAATGGGAAATACCTCACATTCACAACAAAACATACTGTCACGTTTTGTACCAACCACCACCATGGTTGAAAGGTGAATCCATGATGACGTTTTTGCCTGGCTGTAATATTAGCAAAATATCTCCTGAGTCACTGGATGGATCTTACTGTATTGAAGCTCTCAAAGAGTAATTGTTGGATGGACATCTACAACTGACTGACTTTTGGAGTCAACCCTTTTCAAGTCAGTAACTTAAAAGAAGCCCAAAAATGACAATAACTCCAACAACCAACAAGGTTTTAAAGTCAGGTGCTCTGGACGGATTCTTCTTTGTTGAAACATCTTTTATCCCAAAGACTTATTTATCTTTTATATATATATAAAAAAAAAAAAAAGAAGTCTTTTGTATAAAAGATGAAATGTTTAGCTTAACGTCTTAGCTGTTTAATATACCATATTATTTTACATCATTAGTGTTTAGCGTATTGTTTAACGTTCCTTTAACATGTATCTTGGTGTATATCTTAGATCCTTATATACAGTACTGTTTCTTTTTGTACCTTATAGTGTTGCTGTTTTTGGGTGTAATTGGGACCTTGAGTACATAATTTCATTCCACCCCATGTACCACATGTGATGTGAAAGACAATAAAGAACTTGAACACTAACTAACTGATCAAACGTTGCCATATCTATGGTCAGCTTTCTGTCTTTATTGCAGGAACAACTGGATAGAATGGTGTGAAACTCTGAGAAAGTAACAACTGAATGGTCATGTACAACTCATTAGCTTTTGGGGTAAATCCAATTCAAGATGTCCACCACAGGTAACTGATTTTAGCCAACACAAAAATGGTTTCAACTCATTCAACTTGGACAGACCTGGAGCTAAATGTAGTGAGGTAGTAGCTGAGAGTTGCATTCAACACATGCTCAGATACATTTTACAATACTGGATGAAATAGCACATGAGGTTGTTTTCCTCTGTTCGTTCCTCTGCATACATTTTAGGTTAAAACCCTTTCCTGAACGATGGTGGGCGACATGCTTTCCTTCAAAGGAAACCATAGCCTTTAATTTCAATTTAGGTGTACAGTATTTTTGAAACTTCCATGACAATTGTATTTATAAAGCAACGAGAAACTTTTAAAGAATTACTCGTTAATACAGTTTGTTTCTTCTTCTTTCGGCTGCTCCCTTCCTCAGGGGTCACCACAGCGAACTAACTCGCACGAAGACTTGGCAATTGTTTTTACACCGGATGTCCTTTCTGACACAACCACGGACCACCGAGCTACCACAGCCCTCTGTGTGGAGCAGAGAGCTGCTATCTAGTGTGCCCGGTGGAGCAGATGGTGGGGGTTAAGGGCCCAGAGTGGGCCAAATGAGGGTGGAGGCAGGTGTGGGCGTTTCACCTTTATCACCCACATTTTGATGTTGTCAGTCCGGGGCGTTGAACTGGCAACCTTCCGATCACAAGCCTGCCTTCTCTAACCTCTGCGCCACCACTAATTAATACACAGTATTGTTAAAAAACAAACGTTTAATAATGGCTTCATTATGCAGACCAACTAGTGCCTTCCTCTGGTCCTCACTGTGCTTAGCAGATAGTTTAATGCATAAAAATAATCTACTCTTGTACTATGTACAAGATGCACAATATGTACAATATACTATGTACTACTATAATATTATTGCTATATTATTGCTATAATAACTATTGTAATGTTATGTACAAAATACTATGTACAATCTGATCAGCATTGTCTGCCCCCGTGTTCTCCGTCTCCACTCATCTGTTTGCATCTGTGAAACGTAAGAGATTCATCACTGACTCGCTCACACGTTGAGCATGCAGCAGGGGCGCCAAGTTCTTCACAGAAAGTTGGTCATTGATCACAGTGATATTTATTGTGAGTGGCGCTCAATTTGTCAATTTTGCACAATCATTGAAACGTGCATCAGTGTCACAAATAAAGGAGCCATTAAATTCAATTACCAGGTTAAAAACAACGGAACAGAAACAGTGTGGAGACCCTAAATGCTCTCATGCAAGAGAAAGGTTACATGCTCGCTCTGCTGCAGGAGGCTGCTGTGGGGCTACTGGTATGGAAAGATGATTGTGGTGTGTGGGGGGATGTCACAGCTCATTGTAATTGCAGTGGACAGCGTCTAGACATGGTACATTTACCAAGTGAAAGCTTCTCCATTTTATGGACAGATGGCAGGTTTCACCCATCATAGAAGCAGAGGACCAGAGCACACAAACGAGGCACCTTAGAGTAAACCTGGATTTGGTTGTTCAGCTTTACTAAAGCACAAATCTGGTCCCCACAAGCTGAGTCTAATGGTAATAAAGGACTCAACTTTCATGAATTGCATTAAAAACAGGTGCAACTTGGGCACGCAGAGGAACAAATGACCGAACAAAGGATCTTCCTGCGCTGTAACAAACACTAGCAGTGTGTCATCTGCATCTCAGATGCAGGAGTACACACACGCTGTGCTCGCTCAAACGAACACGGCAACATGCATCAAATTCTGTCACCGCCTGACACTTTTTAGTTTGTTGTTATTCAGCAAGCGCCGCTACAACACTACAAAACTTATAATTTCTCTCAAAACTTTAAACTCCTACCTTAAATCAGCAACTGATGCAGCTACAGTACTGTACACACTATTAATCCATGGAGCTTCAAACATATGTATCAACGATTCATTGCACATGAGAACTGAGGTAAACACCATCGGTCATGACAAAATGACAGCCTGCTATTACAGTTAAAGGGTTCATTCAGCTCTTTTAAAGAGGACGTTTAAAGAAAAGCTATGATCAATTAATACCTGTTAACTCTTTGAACGACGTCTCTTTGGAGAAAAACAGTTCAGTTTTGACTGGATTGACAAGATAAGAGCTGGTTTGGTTAGGGCCAAGATCAAAGTGGATTGCTGCCATGTTAAAACAACTTCAGTTGTTCAGGTTTTTCATTGGTTCGTGCAAACACTAGTTTATGAAACTTTGCTGTCAGTTTCCCAGTCTGCAGTTATTCCAGGAGAAAGATACTGTATTTTCCACCATACACGTCACACCGCCCTTTAAGTCGCATCAGTCCAAAATGTATAATAAAGTGAAAAAATCCATATGTAAGTCGCATCTATTATGCGACACAGCTGACGTGTTGCATTTGTTACGCATCACCACTGACAACCCGTAAATGTGGGCTGGTGTTGTGCCAAAAATCAAAAAGCTGCCAAATGGCGGCCGCGGAAACATGCACGAGGGGACTTTAACAAGAATTTAACAAGATTAACACTTAAAAACAATAATTTGTTTGCTTGGAATTAAAGTAAAGGTGTGTTTCAGTCTAACTTTTCCTTAATAAATGTACTTTGATGGTCAAATCAGCTTCATTTCAGAAGCTGATTCGCAGGAGCGTGCACGGGAGGACTCACTGTGCATTTCTTCAAAATTTAACAAGATAACCACCTCAAAACAATTATTTGTTTGCTCAACATTATAGCAAAGGTGTCTCAAATGAACTTTTACTTAATAAATGCACTTCAGTGGTCAAATTAGCTGCATTTCACCAGGGTGGCACAGCAAAATGAAGCTGATTTGACGGTTGCTCCAGGCGAGTTGCACGAAGGTGGCTTCTAAGGCAAGCCAATTGCATCATTAATAGCCACTTTTACCTATTACATGACACAGCGGCATGCCATACTACCTGACTGCCATCTAGTGTTCAATACTTTCAGTCAGAATGAATGAAAATGGTCATATCTCAGCCAAAAATTGGTTTATAAATGTGGGAAAATCCTTAAATAAGTTGCGTTAAATAAATTGCGTTAAATAAGTTTGGTGTATAACTCACAGGGCATGCAAATTATGAAAATAAAAATAAAAAAATAAAGCGACTTGTAGGCCGAAAAATATGGTACTTCCTACTGGAAGGGCCACAGGCTGCACAAAAAGTGCAGCAACTTGCTGTTGTTGCTATTTACACTAGCACTACCACAGATTGCAAAACTTATTAAAAAACATTCATGCAGAGATTTTTATTGACATACCTCTGAACCTAAAATAAAAATATAAACACCTCAGATGATTTTTATTCCATTTTGCAGCCATTTCCACATAACGACCACTTGAAACGTAACATTTTTTAATCACTCTACGTTTTAGACTTAATACTTTAAGTGATGTTTGCTTCATTTAACTTGAAACTTTGGTTCAGAGAAACAAAGGAGTGAGTACTTTACCTCCTAATAGTTCACTTCTTGTACAAAAGCAATGCACGGCAGAGTCAGTTGATGGTGAGGTATCGTTTGAGCAGTCATGTAAAGTGGAACTCATCAGTTTGCTCCCAGAGACAGGTCTGAGAAGCTTTTAATGGAGTACAGATGTTAAGATATCAATACTTTGTATGCACTTATGTTTGAAACCTACTTGTTATTATAACAGGAGGAAATAGGAAATTACTGTTTTTCTCCACCCTAACTTTTTTATTATTATTTCTATAAAAATAACTGCAGCTTTTACAAGCAAGAAACTAAATAATGCAAAAAAAAAAAAGTATGATTGACTGCTAACAAAGAAAAACCTTGATGCTGCAACAACGGGCAACTCCAATAATCTCCAGTCTGCATCTCTTGTCTGTCATATTCCATTTGAATCATGATCTTCCCTGTTTTTGATGTTGAATTTAATTAGGTATTTATGAATTTCATTAATCTGATTAACTTGAAATAATCATCTGAAACGACAAGCAGGCAATTAAACGTAAACGAGATTTTCCTTGACACTAACGCAATGATTGGATGAGATAAGTAGTAAAACAGCACATGCGCTGCATATTACAGTCAAAATTTGTGTCACAACTTTTGCAAAGAAAAAGTGACTTTTTCCAGACAGAAGTCTCACTTTTCACTCCCAACACAAGCAAACTTTCCCCACAGACTTCTGTAATTACCACCATAATTATGATAATGGTAAGGTATAAATTATGGAAGAAAATGGTGACTTACGCAAGCACTGAGGCAGGTCTCCGCTCCACGTCCCGTTGCCTGTGCAGGTAAGCACAGCAGGGAAGGAGAGCTCGTAGCCGGGCAGACAGCTATAGCTCACACTGGCCCCCCACTCCAGGACTGAACCCTCCAGGAGGCCGTTAGGTATGGAGGGTGGCGTGGGACATGTCACCACTGTGGAGACAATGAGGACACAGTTACACTTATCAGAGTGAAGTTTATGCACCTAAGATAAGAAGAGAGTCAAAGGCAATTTGAAATGCTGACCAAGACCAATGTACAACAAGCAGTGCACCGATGTCCCCCGACGCTGAGAGGCTAGAACAATGAATGTTTGGAGTTTTGGAGATGAATGATTTTGTGGACTGGAATTGAACAGAAAATGGAAGTAAACCTGAATGTTTTGGGTACAAGATATTAAAGTGGCAGGAGTTGCACTGTGAAGAAGAACAGAGGGACTTTTGTTTTGCTTGTCCGAGGCAGCGCAGAGTTCCTGTGGAGTGGAGGGAGAAATTTTATCCACTATCGGGTGCAGTGGTGGAGCCAGCGGGTGGCTAATGGTGGCCTCTTTGGCCACCCCAAGGGCCATCTCAGTCATTTGAGAAAACTAGACTTTTAAGCAATATAAATAGTATAAAGCATAATTTCCTTAAATGATGGGGTAGCTGGTTTACATGACCATCTTGGATTTTGATGTGGCAACCCAGCTTTCAATAGTGACCTTTCTTACGCCTGGATGAAGCTACACACCAAAATGGGAGTCGGCATGCTGCCTATTTTTTCAAGTTGTCCAGCTCACAAGGTTAACAAATATGGCAGCTGTGTTGGATTTTGACATGGCAACCATATTTTATAAAGGAATCTTTTTTACGCCTAGATGCAGCCACCTGCCAAAAGGAAAGCAGGCACCTCACTTATGTTTCAAGTTATCATGCCCCCAACATGCACACATGGACTGTGGTGTAGAGGTAGTACAGCCAACTTGGGACCTGAAAGTCACAGGTTCAACTCCCCGCCGTGCCCCCATGTCATGGTGTCCTTGAGCAAGATACTCAATTCCTAACTGCTCCCTGGGCGCTTACATAGCTGCCCACTGCTCCACCTGTGTGTATCTCTCGTGTGCTGGGTTAAATGTAGAGCACTAATTTCATCATTGTATAGAAACATACAATGGCGGCAACACATAGCACTTTCTTTCTTCTTCTGGTTCCTATTCCCCCCATTCACTCTGTGATGGAAGACTAAAGGAAACCATTATAATATAAAAACATTACCATTTACAGAAGAAAATCGATTAATTTGCCAAACAGACAAGTTAAAAAAAGATAAGAATAAAAATAAAACATTGCACAAAAAGATGACCAAGAACAATTAGTGAACTGCTTTGGTGGTCTTTGTGCACCGCGTACAGCTCTTCGAGACCCTTACAAGCGGTCAAACATATTGTGTTGGAATATGCTCTCCTGAGAATTGAGGCATGTTCTTTGAAATAAAAAAGAAAACGTTAATGGTCTTAAAATTATTGAATTTTATAGCCCAAGAGAGAAACTGTAGTACTCATAAAAACCTTTAGAAATGCTTTCTTTACTCTACTTTGAACAACGCAACAGAAAAGCTCGTTGAAGGGTAACAGGCAACGTTGCAGCTTTTGAATTAATATCCAGGTTTGTGTGAGTTTATAGAAACACCAAAAATGAACTAAACATTATGGGGGATGATGGTAAAGAAACTTTAAAGTGATGAAATGTGCAAAAAGAGAGAGAATAAACAGAACAGAAAACAGAGATTGTCTTTACATTTGCATAACATTACAGTGCTGTTTTAAGGCTATCATAAAACATTAGAGGAGACCCATATTCTGCACACAGTGGTTTTGTCGGAGTGAAAACTAGGCCTTCAGTTGTAAAGAAACGTTTTGTGTTTTGACTGTGAGGGATTTTTCCGGTGTTTCTGTTTGGAGTGCGCTGAATGATATCCGTGGGAAATGTGGGGACATTATGCATCTGTGTGAGCCGTAAACTTCCTGCTCAACAAATGCGATAAATGAATGCATAATAAAGCTCGGAGTTTGTTCTCACACACTTGGAGATGAACCCGTGGGGATGCAGATTGGATATGGGTTTTAGGGATGTGAATAAATTATAGAAGTGTTTTTTCAAACACTTACTTTACCCCCTACTTTCCAGCAGTCTTTCTTTTAGGCATTGTTTGATGGTGAAACGCTCGAATAAACATTGGTGAAAGTTACTTGTCACTTTCAAACTTCAAGAAATGGAAACCTTCAAACTATATGGTGACATCACATGTTTAGTTTATAAAGTTAATTAACTTGTCATGTTAAGATCCCAATGTAAAATATGGGTGGTTTTTTTTTTTCCAGCTCTTACACTTTGTATGACAAAACAATAGAAATACATGTTCTACATAGGATATAATACAAATATATATTATGGATAAACAAGGAGTATGCCAATGTCCTCCGTCGCTGAGGGATTTGAACAGTGACTGTTTAGTTGTCGAGATGTGTGTTTTTCCGTGCAGGAATTGAACGGAGAATGCAAGTAAACCTGAATATTTTGGTGCAAGATATTCAAGTGGTGAGGAGTTACACTGTGGAGAAGAACAGAGGTGTTTTTTTTCCCATGCCTGAGACACAGCAGAGTGACAAATCCTGTTGAGGTGGTGGCGCAATCCACCCAGTGCAATGATGGAGCCAGGGGGTGGCACCATAGTTTAATCTTCGCCCACCCCAATTATTTGAGGAAACTATACTTTTAAGCAATATAAAATTTAGAAAGAATGGTGATCGGTGGTTGGTGGTGACCATCTTAAATTTTGACTTGGCAACCCATTTTTTGATATTGGCCTTTGCTACACCTAGATGCAGCCACACACCAAAAAAGAAGCTGGTATGTGCGGCTGTGGCTGAGTGGTTAGAGCAGTTGTCCTCCAATGCAAGAGTTGGGGCGTCCGTGGGTCCTCTCACAGAACATTTTGAATAACAGAGATGCCATTTCCTGCATTTTGGTGTATTTTAATGGGTTGTTATACATCAACATTTACCTACATTTGTAAACACTTTAAAAAATTACTATTTTGGAGAGGAACAGCAGGTTGTGTGTGAATTAGAGCAGCTCCGATTCTGTCAGGAGCCCTAAACCCCCTCTTCCCTCCCCTCACTTCACGGTTCTGAGCTGAACTCTTCTCCGCTCCTGCTCCAGTCTTGTGGCACCGTTTGAAGCACCTGAAGGCTTCAATTCTCTGTTGTCCAACTAAGGACAATCCATCCATCCATCCATTTTTTATTAAACTAAATTAAACTGTGTCTTTGACATTTTGATTACTGATTCTGAAATGTAGCGGGAGTTCAGACACCTGCTGATGTTGTGCACACGCTAGAGCTGTCTGGAGACGTTTCTGTGTGTAACGTGCACTGTCCACAGGCATTTATTTATTCTGTTGAATAAATTATTGTTTCTGTTTCGGGGTCTAAGAGGAGGAGAGAGGGGGTGTTTTTCAGTGCGCAGCCTCGCTGACTAGGGACAATATTTGGAGAGGAGGAGGAGAGAAGGACTCCATGCAGAATCTCTGTGCGTAAGACCATCTGTCCCTCCGTCCTCACCCGCCTGCCTAGAGGCTCCTGTCCTGCTCCTCAAAGGAGCGTGTAGTTGGTTCGCTGCGCGTGCTGTGGCTGGAACATCCACAAATTGGGTTCGCCGGACTAAAGGCAACGTCTCCTCTCAATGTATTTTTTTAATAAATAATCAAAATAAAAATCCACGATGACTTCGGACTTTTAGGGGCGGAGTTGTCGGATTAGAACAAAGAGTTGCCGGAAATAGAACAGGTCAAAACGAGAGAGTTCCCGGATCTTGTTCCAGCAGGATCCGGCTCAAGTTAACCACTGATTACATTACTATCCGGTTAATTACCCACTAAATAAAATCAGGTGTGTCGGAGCAGAGAAACAACTAAAACATGAAGGATGGTGTTCCTCAAGGACCAGGGTTGGGAACCCCTGATTTAAAGAGCTATCTACAGCAGGTGAAATATTACCTGTTTATAACCTTTCTACAAAAGCCCTCTTTAAAAAAATCTAAACAATACCTTTAAGCACTGGCCTGAAGCTCTTCTTTCTCACCACCACCTCTGAAATATAAAAAACTAACAATTTTAATTTCAAGATTATGACCATGTAAAAACTTGGCAAGAGTTTGATAAATGACTTTCCTGCCAAATTTTGTTGGTTTCCTTCTTTGGTTTTTAAACAGTGAGCAACAATAAATATGGAACAGACCTCGGCGGGATATTCAGACATCCTCTCAGAGGAGGAACCGTTTTTTGTTCTCGGTTGGCAGCGGCACCAAAGCAACTTCCATGTGGACATTTTGCAGCAGTTACACAGCACATATACGCTTCATCGGTGAGCTATGTTTGGAAATGTATTTAGGCCAGGGTGAATCAAAGTTCAGATGCAAAAACCACTCTGATGATGCAATCTGTTTTCTGCTACCGTGTCTGTCCTCACAAGTTTCAGACCAGAAGAAAGTTGACAACAAACTGTTTCTTTTGGAATCAATCAAAAAGCATAGACAGTTTTTGATTAATCGTGGGAACTCGCTCAAGTCCTACTACATAACTACGTGTCCCAGCTGGCTTCTGTTCAACCTGTGCAGGTGAGTTATTCTGCAGGTTGTCTCTGCAGGAGAATCAAACAAGGAGGAAGCATGAGCACTTGAGAACTGTTATGCAAGTGAGGAAAACTACATTAATTAAAGGAACAGGCCTTTAATCTCATAAGCATGTTTTAGAAGTTACTTGAAAACATGAAAAAAATAAAAAACTTCAGGCATGGGTGGCAGGCAGAACTGAATGGGAAGCAGAGTGGCCTCATTTTCCTAAGTAGTTCTAAGCAGCATTAGAGCATTAGTGCCTCTTAGCCGAACATGCCAATCCCGGGACCAAACGGAGGTTTCAGCTGTATCATCTGCAGCATGTGCACCTGAACATCACACACCAACACCGCGGCTACCACTGACATTCTCGCATTATGTGTAAAAAATTATGCACAGAGTTGGTGCATTTAAAACCTCTTTGTCTCTCCTATCCTTCTTTTGTCTCCCTCTTCCTCCCTTTCCTCTCATTTTATTTTCCTCTCAATCTCTTTACTCGTTCCCCTTAGCTCAGATCCCCAAGGCACATCATCTAAATCTATGACAAGATGACAGATGCCCCGCTTCACGACGGTTTTAAACAGCTCATCCTGCATGAACTGCTGCAGCTTCAACTTACAGCCAATCGTGCAAAGAAAGGTGGGGGACGATAATCTTATGAGAATCAATCTCAGCTTTATATTGGATAAAATATATTTACTTAGTACTTCTTAAAACATCTTGCTGCGTAGGCTGCCGATGACAAAGACGATGAGAGGGATGGTTAATAAGGTGAGTTTCTCTTGCTTACTATTGATAGTACAAGAAAGAAAATAGCCATGACATTAAAAAAATAACCCTCAAAACAACTGAAATCTGTTTTAATTCTCAATCCACACAGAGAAAAGGCTAAATTAATGAAGAGAACTCACTTAGCAATCAAAATCCTCGCTCCTGCTTTTCTTTTATTCATTTATCCCGTGAGAGAAATAAGTGCTACCGGAGAATGGAGTGTACGAAGAGGCAGGAGGGACTCTACGGGTCACTGACTAATGTGTGCGGGTCAACACAAGCCGACAGCGCTCCGACTGCAGCTGCAGGGTTGGAAGAAAACATGAGGACGTGCAACAATCTGTAGGACTGTGTGAATGTGCACGTATCAGAGAGGTGTCAATGGTTTGCAAGAACTCGTATGGTTGAATGAAGTTACGGAAGTCTAAACTAACAGGTTCAGCTGTTCTTTACACCACTCCCATAAACACAAGCAGGAGCAGGACAGTGTGTGCACACACAAGTTCACTCTCAACAATCCAACAGATGTGAGTAATAGTTGGGCAACCATCAACTCATCAAACCTCTTCAGCGTATAACGCAGCAGGTTGTGTGAATAATGAAACACACAAATTAAAGATTGTGAATCAGTGTCAGTCTGGATGGTATAAACGCTCAGGCAGGGTCACACAAGAAGCCTGATGAGGGAAAGAAGAACAAGGTCCAAAAAGTGGAAGCAGAACCAAAGAGTTTCAGTATATACTGTAGGATTCTGCTAGTGTAGATATAATACACAAGCAATACACCGATGCCCCCCATCACTGAGGTATTTGAATAGAGAATGTTTGGAGTTTTCCAGTTTACCAGGAGGCCATCTTAGCACCAGCAAACTATGGAGTACGCCATTTGTGGAAATCAGTTTGTTTGGTGTCTCCTCATATTGAAGAAGTCCTTTGGATGAAGGACACAACGTGTCAGCAAAAATAAAATAAACAAAGAAAAAAAAAGTCCAGATGACCTGACTGAACATTGTTGGATTTTTACTTGGATTATTGAGCATGAACTTTGATGGCATGCTGCTTATTTTCAAGTTATCCAGCTCAGAAGTTTACATATATACAATGGTGGTTGTCTTGGATTTTGAGGTGGCAACCAGATTATGTAAAGGAACCTTTCTTATGTTTGGAATTAAGCCACACACCAAATCAAACGTCAGTACCTCACTTATTTTGCAATTAATCATGCTCATAACATTCATGCACAGGTGGAGGGTATTTCTAATTCCCCTTCTTTGTTCTGCGACGGGGGGTCAATTAAATGTATGTTTAAATTAAAAGGCCTAATATTACAACTTTTAGGACTTGACACATCTGGGATAACTCAGAAACTATTCCAACAAACCTTCCTACGTTTCCATCTTCATTTGATTTTCCAAACCTTCCAGCCGTTTTACATTTTGCCTGTGAACACATCTGCAACAAGATGCTGGCTTTGTGAATGCATCTGATAGTCTCATAAACTGGATTTTTTTCCCTTCTTCTTCTCCCATTTAATTTGTCCCTTGCCATTTCTGAAGAGGCAAACATGATAACAGTTTGCTCTGATGTACTGCAACGGACCCGGCAGCCTGGGAACCGTTCCTTAGCAACAATGAGCCACCATTTGCCTGGTAGGCTCTTCCCTTACTTGGTGCACATCTGAACTGAATTCTGCACATGGTAATATTTCCTAAAACACTTACTTCATAGTGTCAGCAACAGAAATGCTAATCTATGCCTGGGCTCAAGGATCATAAATCATGCAATGATGTAACGCTGATGGGCGTACAACTACTGACTTCTCACAAGAGTTTCTATTAAAAGCAAAATGTACACAAAGGTTTAGAGAGGAAGAGTAATATCTGAAGTAAACTTAAGAAAAATCCAGATTGTATGTACGCATAGATATATTTCAGTATACACAGTGAGATGCAAATATTTAGAAAATCAAAGATTTTATACTGTAAAATTTGCATTGTGTTTTATCTGCAGTACTCCTGTGGCTGACCACCTTTCTATTACGCAGACGGGTGAAATGTGGCATCAGCAGCTCTTGAGTTAAGTGAACAGTGTCACCATTGAACCACACAGGGAGTCCTCTGTCGCCTTTCTTGCTAATCTCATCAGCTCTCCAGGAGTAAGTATGCGATTCTTATTTTACATGACGTGCTGGTTTGCCAAGGCTGTTGTATCAGAGGCTGATGGTTATCAAGGTTGACCGTTTTCTGCAGCAGAGACAAAGACTTTTAAAGAGAAGTGGCCAGGCTTAGGCCAGTACTCTCATTGAAGCAGCACAGAAACTGATGTCTAATTGCGGTTTTTGTGTGTGTGACAAGTTGAACGAGAGGGAGGCTGGTGGAACAGTGAGGCTACAAGGAGCAGAGGTCACAAAGGTGCAGGACTTCAAGTTCTTGGGGTCCACTGTCTAGCAAAAGGGAGATTGTGGTAAGAGGTGAATAAGAGAGTCCAGGCAGGATGGAGTGGATAGAGAAAAGTTTCAGGAGTGGTTTGCGACAAAAGGGGTCAGCAAAGGTCAAAGGTAAAGTTTACAAAACAGATGTGAGACCAGCTATGTTGTATGGTCTGGAGGCAGTGGTATTGACAAAAAGACAGGAGAAAAAACTGGAAGTGGCAGAAATGAAGATGTTCAGGTTCTCCTTAGGAGTGACAAGGATGGATAAGATTAGGAATGAGATCATCAGAGGTGCAGCACAGGTTGAACAACTGGGATATAAAGTCAGAGAGGCCAGACTGAGATGGTTTGGACATGTCCAGAGGACAGTGGGTATATTGGTAGAAGGATGTTAGAAATGCAGCTGCCAGGAAAAAGACAAAGAGGAGATATATTGATGCAGTTAGAGAGGACATGGAGGTAGTTGGAGTGAGGACAGAGGACGCAGAAGAAAGCATGAGATGGAGAAGGATGACTCGCTGTGACAACTCCTGAAGAGGGAAAAGCTGAAATAATAATAATAAGAGTGTGTGACAAGTTGTTGTAGTGCATGTAGTTACTTTAGCCACAACCAAGAAAATGAATCCAATTCTCCCAGTGGTTGTTTGAAAGACAGGAGTTTGGCTCTGCCCAGAGCTGACTGGTAGTGTAGGCAGTGAAGGCAAATGCCAAGGGTGCCATCAATCCATGTTTTGAATTTCAGTGTTTCCCCTTCCATCATAAAAGCAGGGTGCTCCGCCCTGTCAACAGAACGGAGCACCCTGCCTACCAAAAATTTAAAAATAGTTTCTTGTAGGAGTGTATGTAAAATTATAGAAATTAACAGAAGTGTACGGGGGTGCCACCTGAAAGTTTGGCATAGAGTAGAAAATTCACTCCACCTCCCTCTGTACTCCAGCATGAGTATGACACAGAGTACAATATACGTTTTGTGGAAGTTTACCTTGACACATTGGCATGGCTCCGCTCCAGGTTCCATTGTTGGTGCAAGTCCTACTGACAATGCTTTCTCCTCCAACCATCACATACCCTGGTTGGCACATGAACGTCACATTCTGGCCCACAGTGATGTCATCACCAAATCTGAGTCCATTCGCTGGAATCCCAGGCTCACCGCAGGTGATCACTGTAATTGAAAACACAAATAAACAGAATTTACACTAAAAATATATGCAAAGATGTGTGATGGGAAGAATATAATCACGTGCAGCATAAAACAAAGTTGAAATGAAACCTATTTCTTCAAAACGTTTGACAGAAATACCTTTTCCTCCTTTGTATTATGAGAAAAATATAAGGAGAACTTGTAAAGCAAGTCTTTAAACCCAGATCTTCCAGTTAAACTCGTATTTTTGGCTTGAAGTTTTTTGAATTTTCCAGTTACACCGTAATAGCCTTTTCCTTTCCCCAAATTCTGCTCTATTAAACCAAAAATAATACACAAAATATTTTGGGATTAAAAATCATTCTACCCATCAAAAAATGTGATGGTAGAGCGTCAGAATTAATTAGCTCAGGTTGAATATTTGTCTTATTTGACAAGCAGTTTTACCTGTTTCACAAATGCCATATAATTCAAAAACAAAAAACTAAATTAAACTTATAGGATGTAACAGCACTTACACATACTATTTTTCAGGAAATAATATTACAGCAGTAAAAGGCTAAACTTTCTGCAAGAAACTGGAGATTGAAAGATCATCAATACATAGGAGGTAATTACATAGCAATGATTAGTAGCTGCTAATTGCTCTCCTGCTGTCTGTCACTTGCAAGGCTTAACCTGATTTAGAGCAGCTGTAAATTGATTCAACCTATTCACTGCCGTCTCAGCATACTGTAAGAAAAGCTGTAGTGTTGCCTTTATGGTCATCGACAGGTTAGCGTTAATCTAGTGTACAATAGTTAACCTGAGTAGTACATTGCTCAGAACATGGTTTTTCCAGGAAAAATAACCTTTATTCATTTTTTTCTCCTATCTTTAATTATTTTGCAATCAAACCTTAAAAGCACTTTTCTTTTTTGTACTTGCAGTACATATTTCAAAACAGCTTAAAAAAAAAGGTTCGACTCACAATTTATTTTCATTACTGTAATTTACTGCTTCTTAATGGTATTGACACCGACCATTAACAAGCACAGGAGTCTGTGAACAGACTTTTCAAAAAGTCTGGCAGTTTACTTGAGCCATCGGGTTGCTGAAGAGACTGAACAATGACACTAAAATTACAAAGACTTTAAATTAACAAATATCCTGTTATGCAGAGTTTATTCACAATCCTCGCACAAACAACCAAAACTTACATTACCAATAATATCAATTTTGGGGACCTTACATTAAGGGAAACACCCACTCTTCTGTTGAGTTTTTTCTTTTTTCTTTTTGTTTAATGGTCAGGAACAAACCAGTGACAAATTTGCGTGAGGTGGGGGGACACCCTGGACAGGTCTCCAGTCCATGACAGGGACAAATAGAGACAAACAAGATAAACGACCATTCACTCTCTCCTTCACACCTAGGGACAATTTAGAGTTACCAATCAGTCTAACATACATGTTTTTTGTCTGTGGGAGGAAACTGGAGTACCTGGAGAAAACCCATGCATGCACGGAGAGAACATGCAAACTCCACCCAGAATGGCCCCCCCGGCCAGGATTTGTACTGGCGACCTTCTTGCTGAGAGGTGGCAGCTCTGCAACCTGCACAACCGCAGAGCAATACTAACAGTTAAAATGATTTTAATAGTGAAGACTTTTCTGCACATCTGCTCTTGGCTTCTTCTCACGGCTCATTTTCTTCAAAATAAACAGATGGTTGAGCGTTGGCCAACTCTGTTGTCAGGTCCTCACCCACTGCCATCCCTGATTCAATTATAGTCGCTGGTCTCTGACTTGATTCTTCATATTCCCTGTTTTGATTTCACATGTCCCGATTCATGCAAGCTAATTAGAATATTTACTTTGACTCGTTCACCTTCATGTAAGAAGCCAGAAAGCTCAGCTAAATGCTCCTACAGTAAATCAGTCGGCTGATTTTCAGTTGCTGCCAACCATTTCAACACTTTGTGTTTGTTTATTGCTGTGTGGGAACAAATTGGTGTCCAAAATAAAAGGATTTACTTGGTAAAGATAAATCCTAAATGCAGTCTTGGGTGAATGGAAGCGAGTTCTGGCTTGAGCCAATAATAAATCGGATAAACTCACATATTTATTTTCCCACGTTAACACAAACACTGATTTTATGTCAAGTAACAGCAGACAATCAGCAGCCTTGACGCTCGTCTGAGATGTACTGTATTGCTGTTTGTTGTGTCCTTTTGTTTACTTGGATCAATCTCGTATTAAAACTTCCAGAAAGGTTTCTCCACACAGCATCCTGTAATACATGTCAGAAGAATAAATGGCTGTGCAAATGGCAATTATTTGATGCTTGAGATGCAGTCATTTATAAAGTGCCTGCAGTGCACACTGAAACTAACCTGTCAGCCATATCTGATTTTCTTTGGACTGCACAGGCATTGTGGGTAGTAAACTACATTCTTGGGCTGTCATCTCACACGAGTCTTACACAGGAATATTTGCACAGTCGCATAAAGCGCTACCCGGCCATGCAGAAAGTAATAGCTACTTGTTTAGAAACGATATATCTGTTGCTTGGTTTAATCCCTGATTTCAGTCTAAGAGGGAAAGCCTGACCAAGTTCCTGAGAACTACGGTACAAAATGAGAAGATTAATATTATTTTTGGTTCACCAATAGATGCAAATATGCAGTGAGTGAAGAAGGTAATCAAATTATTAATTTGTTTTTCTTGAACATAACAGTCAAAATACATATATAACAGTCAATCTCCTCCTTGAATCACAACCTTATCGCAGCGGAGGAGTTTGTGTGCCCGAATGATCCTAGGAGTAATGATGTTGGGGGCAATTGTAATTGCCCCTGGTAGGGTCTCCCAAGGCAGACTGGTCCTAGGTGACAGGCCAGACAAAGAGTGATTCAGAAGATTCTTATGGACAAATACAAACAAGGAGCTCAGTGTCCCTTGCCCGAACATGGGTTACTGGGGCCCTACCCTGGAGCCAGGCCTGTGGGAGGGGCTCGTCGTCGAGTGCCTGGTGACCGGGTCTCTACCCATGGGGCCCGGTTGGGCTCAGCCCGAACGAGTAACATGGGTTTGCCTTCCTATGGACCCACCATCGGCAGGATGGGCCATATGTGTTGGGTGCATGATGCCATGGGTAGTGGCTGAAGGCGGGGGTATTGGCACTCTGACCCTGGCTTAGCAAAGCTGGCTCTTTGGACAAGAAATGTGACCTTTCTGGCAGGGAAGAAGCCTGAGCTTATGCGTGAGGTTGAGAGGTAACCCTCTTCAAAAAAGGGGACTGGAGGGTGTGCTCCAAATATAGGGGCATCACTCTACTTAGCCTCCCTGTTAAGGTCTATTCAGAGGTACTGGAGAAGCGTGTCTGATTGTTGGTCAAACCTCAGATCCAGGAGGAACAGTTCAGGTTCCGTCCTGGGCGTGGAACACTGGACCAGCTCTTTACCCTCACTAGGGTCCTTGAGGGGTCATAGGAGTTTGCCCATCCAGTCTACATGTGTTTTGTGGGCTTGGAGAAGGCTTTCGACCATGCTCCTCGAGGTACACTGTGGGGGGACTCCGTGAGTATGGGATTGGAGGCCCATTGCTACGGGCTTTTCGGTCCCTATACAAGCGGTGCAAGAGTTTGGTTCGTATTGCCAGTAGTAAGTTGGACCCCTTCAGGGTGGGAATTGGACTCTGCCAGGGCTGCCCGTTGTCAATGATTCTGTTCATAACTTTTATGGACAGAATTTCTCGATGCAGCCAGGGGGTGGAGGGATTCTGGTTCGGGAGCCTCAGGGTTCCATCTCTGTTTTTTGCAGATGATGTGGTCCTGTTGGCGTCCTCATGCCGTGATCTTCAGCTTTCACTGGAGCGGTTCATAGTAGAGTGTGAAGTGGCTGGGATGAAAATCAGCACCTCCAAATCTGTGGCCATGGTCCTCAGTCTGTAAAGGGTGGATTGATCTCTTCAGGTCGAGGGTAAGGTTTTGCCTCAAGTGGAGGAGTTCAAGTATCTTGGGATATTGCTCACGAGTGAGGGAAGAATGGAGCTTGAGATTGACAAACAGATTGGTGCAGCGTCTGCAGTATTGTGGACTCTGTTCTGGTCTGTTGTGGTGAAGAGGGAGCTGAGCTGTTAGGCAAAGCTCTCTGTTTACTGGTCGGTCTATGTTCTTACCTTGACCTATCGTCAAGATCTTTGGGTAGTGACCGAAAGAATGAGATCATGGATACTGGTGGTTGAAATTAGTTTCCTCCAAAGGGTAGCTGGACTCTGGATTCTCCCTTAGAGATAGGGTGAGAAGTTAATTTATCCGGTAGAGACTCCGAGTAGAACCATTGCTCTTCCAAATCATGAGGAGCCAGGTGAGGCAGTTTGGGCATCTGGTAAGGATGCCCCTGGGCGCCTCCCTTGGAAGGTGCTTCAGGTATGTTCGACTGGGAGTTCAACACTGGGAAGACCCAGGACACACTGGAGAGACTGTCTCTCGGTAGGCCTGGGAATATCTTGGAATCCTCCCAGAAGAGCTGGAAGAGGTGGCCCTGGAAAGAGATGTTTGGGCCTCCCTGCTCAAGCTGCTGCACCCGCAACCCGACTTCGTAACAAGCGAAAGATAATGGATGGATGGATGGATGGTAACAGTCAATATTTCTATAACTGCATTTACCTGCAAGTCCAATGGCACGATGCCCACCCAGCTTTCAGTCATGTAATTTTCTTTGCATAAAAACTTTGAACTTTCAACTTTGGCAATTCAAACTCTATCACAAGACAAATCAACAGTCATCATTATCCTAACAAGTGGTACGTCAATGTCCCCCATTGCTGAAGGATTTGAATAGTGACTGTTTGTTTAGATCAATGTTTTTCTGGACTGGAATTAAACAGGAGATTTAAGTAAACCTTGTTTTTGGTGCAAGATCTTTAAGTGAGTAGGACTTACATTGTGGAGAAGAACAAAGGGAGGTTTATTTATTTATTTTGTGCTTGTCTGAGGCGTCTCAGAGTACAATGGCGGAGTCAGAGGGTGGCCAGTGG